TTATGTGCCATTTTTTAAACGGTCCTAAACTTTCCTGGAAACAAGAAAGGTATTAATTCATGAATAGTCAAACTTTCTGTCTTCAGAGATATTTATAAGGGCGTGTTTTCTCTCCCATTTTATGATAATGATGCGAAAGTCTAACATATCTTACCTTCCTTCTGACTTCCATAGCAAAAAATGGAGCATTTTTCCATATATAAGATTGAATAATTTGTTAGCTAGATATTGTAAGCTCTTTCCATTTTTTTTATAAGTTTCCATAATTGATGCACTATGTAATATTATGCAGCATTCAAGGCCAAGAGCTCAGCATGAGGATAAAGAGAATAAGTTGCACTTTTCCTTCATCTCATCCCACCCCACCCCATCCCACCCCATCCCACCCCATCCCAACCCATCCCATCCCATCCCATCCCATCCCATCCCATCCCATCCCATCCCACCCCACCCCATCCCACCCCATCCCACTGTGCCACAGGAATAAAGGAACTGTCCTGGCCAGCCTGGGATTCGCATCCATTCAAGCGCCCAGGAGCAGCGGCCCTTCAAGGGTCATCCTCAGAGGCAAGTGGCACCTCCTGGGAGGTGGCACAGGACAAGTATGACTTGGGCTCTGCCCTCTGGCCATCTTGCCGCCCCTTCTCTTAGCTGTGTACACTCAGCACCCTGCAGCCCTCTCTTTCCTCCCCACTTCCATTCAAGCCAGGAGTTGCTAGCCACCACGCCCAAGCCCCGTGCTTTTCAGTATGTTCCATGAATTATCCCAAGCATTAAAAAAGGGTCTGAAAAAGCAAATTTATCCCAGCGCTTATCCCTGAAAAACAAACACTGTATTTTCTATCACAAACTGCTCTGGGCCTCATCCCCACTAACAATCAACTCGAGGGCCGAGGAAAGCCACAGTGAAACGTGAGTGGGACCCACGTCCTCATCCCCACTGGCTTCTTTCCACCGAGTGGCGGTGCCAGCCGAGCAGGGGAAGGGTCTAAGCAGGAACAAAGAGCTGCCGAAGATGGGTGGGTGAGCAACAGCACACACGACTGAATCGGAGTTTCTCTGGACATCTCGCCCCCCCCCCCCCCAAGGAGCCAGGCCCACAGGCAAAGCAGTGACGAGCTGTCTGCAGGGAGGCGGCGAGCCAGGAGTGTGCAGTCGGCGACTTCCTCTTCCACTTGCCCTTCCGCCTTTGGGACAGAGGAGCCATCTCTTGTGGGTCACGGAGAGAAAAGTCAGTGCAGGCTGTGTTTCCGGAGAGGGGTGCAAGGAGTGGGCAGAGCTGCTCACGCCACGTCTCCTCCTCCCTGGGTTCCAGTGCAGGAGGCACCACAGCGGCCGGCGTCACAGCACTAAGAAGAGGACTAGCACAACCAGCAGGATCGCGAAGAGGACGGCGATGGCACACCACTGGCGCCGATCTGGAAGGCAGGCACAGGTTAGGCTCCCAGCTATGGGGCAGACCCCAGGACACGTGTATGGACCCTGAAGGCCACGCCTTGAAGCCCAAACCGGACAAGACGAGCAGACGATGGCGATAGAGGATCTTGACTGCCCAGGCTCCTAGTAGCCCTAACGCTGCTCCGGCCTGCAGTGCACTGCACCCCAACCCACCAGTTCCCCAAAAGTGTGCCTTGTAACAAGTACGTGTTTTGTGCCTCACATCTCTCATTAAAACCAGTGGCTGAGCTTTCTACTGGTAGTTAACGAATCTCTGGAAAAGACGCGGGCATTGTTTTCACAGGCCAAAGTCGGACTGCTTTAATCTCCCACCAAAGTCGAACCATTTAGTTCCAAGGATAATTTGATAATAATCATGTGCTTTCCTCAATGAGCACTAGGGGTAGGGAAGATTTGAAAACGACTGCAGGTTGCGTCAGGAAAGAAACACAGAGCTGAATAAACAGCTCTGGTGAGCATGTGCATCATTCATTTTATACCACACCCAGTCAAGTAATACTACTTAACCAGCAACTGTGATAGCTCACTTACGCAGCTTATCTGCTAGCAAAGTGGAATGTCTCCTCTAAAACCTGGTGTTCTACCAGCAATTTCCAACAGGCAGAGAGCAAAGTGCATATAAATGGCTGACAGCAAAGAGTCCCTGAAAGGTAGGAGGGGGTCTCACTGGTTCCAGCCCCCAGACCTGACTACAGACCCCTAACTCTACAACAGCTGCCTCACAGGGCTGTCCTGAGAACTGAAGAATGCAAATACCCCACTGAAATCTGGGCTTTTTGAGGCTTGAGGATAGGCCAGCCATCACAGCGATGGTTCTTTAAATTGGGCAGATGGAGGAAGAGCATGCAGGTTTTCCATAGATGAGCCCTGCCTCTCCACAAAGGATCAGGCGGACATGAATTTCACTAGCCTATGAAACTGCAAGTCACTGGCTAGAAGAGTTCCTTTCAAATAGAAATATGATGCATACTGATTTATTTGAAAGTCTGCTGGTTTTATACTACAGCTACTGAGAAGTGGCATTAGAAAATGGTCTGGGCCCTCATTGGTGGCACAGCGGGTTGGAGCACAGCACTGCGCAGCTGTGCAAGGTCATTCTCCATCCCCGGAGGTGACCCACACGGCACGGCAGACCTCTCCTGACCTGCCCGCGGCTCCCCTCAGCAGTGTATTTCAGTGGATCTGTCTGCTCTGCTCCCTACTCTCTCTCTGGTGAATTAACTCATGGTCCCTGCACCTCTGGCCTGTACCCCAGTGCTGTCTGCATGTATACATTAAAAAAGAAAAAAAGAAATGTTTTTAAAAAATGGTCTGAAAATCAGAAAATAGGTCGCAAAACTGTCCACAAAGCAATGTACTTGAATTATTTAACTATCATGCTCAGCATAGTCTTAGAATTTGCTGAGAGAATGACACCAGTGGTGGTAGGTAAAGGGAGCACTTCCTTGTGGTGATGGCCTTGCTCTTTTTGGATGCACCAGGAACTCACTAAGCAAGTGTGACTAGGGAGGAGACCAAGTTGATCCACTTCTGAACCAGGACTATTCCACAGGCACGGGGAGCAGATGTGGCCAACCCTTACCACATTTTTAATATTGAACTATCACTTGGAGGGTCAAACAATGCCATTTCTTTAAAAACGTTTATGATTATTTAAACCACTCTCATTACAATGATTAGCTAAACAAAGCGATCAAGGTAGCTGCTTCCTCACCTCCCTGTGCCCCAACTCACATGTGATTCCTGCTGCCACTCTCAAAGCCAGGTTTCCAGTAGGGAACTGGCTTTCCATCCCAATCCCCGGCCCTCCCCGCATCACTTTCTCTTCTGCAACAGCATAAAGTAGGGGTTTTCATCAAGGGAGAACATCCATCACCAGTTAGCACAACCCAGGAACACTCTTTTAAAGCCGTTTTCCTTTGAAGTGGTAAGCTGCTTCTGTGAAGCATGAACTAGGTAACCCCAGGGCGCTGTTACCCCAGCAGACTTCTCTCCAGAAGGGGCGGGCACCACCCACAAGGGTTTTTGTGACCTCAAGTGAAAAACCATAAACAACTCTGCAAGCTCAAGATCTGTCTCAAAGTCAAAAGGAACAAAGGGAACTCCATGGAAGGTCCTTCTCCCAGCCCCATGTTTCTTCCCCTAACAAGAAAAGGTGAGTAACATCATTTTGGAAAATGAGAGGGAAAAAGTCTTGGTCTCTACTCAGTGGAATAAATCTTCTGGTTAGGACAAGATCAGACCCAAGAGGGTGACTCTCGTTGGGTGGCTCAGAGAAGTAAGTGTACCTGGCTAGTTTCTGTGCGTGGAGTTGCCAGCGGCACGAGGCCAGAGCTGCTGCATGAGAAGCGGATGTGGTGCTCACCTCTCACCTGGTCAGACTGCTCTGTGTGTGTGAGCCTTTCTTTGTACACAGGTTTCATTTAAATGCAGTCTCCCCAAAGACAGGGAGAAGAACAGAGACAAATCCAAATTGCTTTGTTGTCAAATTGAAGCAGACACCACCAAGCTGGAGGCACTTAGCGATTTTTCTTTAGGGAGTGAGCAAAGATTAGAATGAAAACCACAGGCAAACTGTCCAAACTGAAGAGCCTTTCAAGCTAAATGCTGAGTCCTGGCTCTCTTTCTTAGACAAATAAAATTAAAGTTCTTACTTTGCTCCCCAAACTTTTCTTTTGGGAGAGAGTACAATAAAGCATCAGCAAGCCTCCGAGCTATTTATACACACTGAATTGCTTATCACAATGCAAGTGCTTTTCTAAATTATTCATACCCAGAATGCTGGGAAACAAAGACACAATGCATCTTTGTTCATTTGCTCTTCCCAAAACAAAACTGCTGCTGAAGTAGCTACTTGACTTTTGGACGAATACATGCACTAGTGAGAGCCTCAGTGTTTAAGCTGGTTATATAATACTTCATTAAAACTACCCCCCCCCCCAAGAGGTGGGAGGAGAAAAAGGCAAGAGAATAGGGAATCAGAAGGTTGAGCAACCCTCTAAGAACATCAGAGACGAACTGGGCTGGGGCCTGCTCCAGGCAATGAAGAACCTGCTAGAAGCATTAACAATATTTGTCCCTGGTGAGAAAAGGAAATAAACCTGGCTATAAGTTTTTCCTTGTTTGGGATAAAACAGGTTCTTTGCTCCTTAAGGTTATTTTCTGCCTGACTTACTACTTTAAAAAAAAAAATAACAAAGTATTCACACACAGGAGATACTGATAAACACCTGTGTATTAATTATTTCATTTAATCCTCACAATGACTTGAGAGTCTTCCCTCTGGTTTTTTGTAGACAGGACTGAGCCCCAGAGAACTGTTATGTGACCTGATGATGAAAAGCAAATATGTTTGAAACTCGCCTCACAAGGCTGACCTCATGTGCAGGTCCTCTACCATCTACACGACAGGAGGAAACCAAGAATGAGGTATCAAAAACGAGGGGGTTCTGATGGCAAGGGGTGGTCTCTGTCAGGAACACTGAGATTACTGCAGGGAGTATCTCAGCCGAGGGGAGATAATAACTAAAATCTTAATTACTGGTTTTAAACAAGTTCCTTAGTTTTCCTTCTCTGATACTAAAGCATCCATGAAAAAGTACCACAGCAAGGGTCTGAACGGACATACCTGCGAGAGAACCGCCATAGGCTGTATCTAGAATGAAGCAAGAACCCTTAAGCTTTAAACACTATACATACCACTGGTCATGTGGGATACTTTTGCAAGCTTCTTCATCACGTTGTCCAGTCGAGACTGGGTGCTCTCCAACTCGTGGGAGAAATCATCCAACATGCTAGAAAGAGAAGCAGACACAGGAGGTTGCTGGTCAGTGCAAAGTCTCGGTGCAGCACTGGTCATGGAGTTAAGTCAGGATAGAGGCCTCAGTTTCAGCAAACTAGAAATGGCAACACCTGGAATGAAGTCCCCAATCTATCATCCCATAGGCCTGAGAACAAAATATGCTTTTCATTTTAAATTTAGGGAATTTAAGCTACTAGATAGGCAGTACATCAGCTAACACACACAACAGGATCTGGAGCTGTCTTTCCCACTGTCCCCCCCACCACATCCAAATTTCATCCAAATTTCAGCAGAGAAAGCTATGAGGAGTAACAGGTGTAGTCAGTTCTGGTTTTTCTGTGATATGAGCTTGCTGTAAATTAAAAAAAAAAAAAAAAAATTTTTTTAAAAATGTTTTAGAGCGCTCCATATTTTAGAATTGCGGATTTTACAGAATACTACAAACCTAGTGGCAGCACAATGCAGGAGAAAGAAAGCTCTGTGGAGTCAGCCAGCCAGGCCTTGCCACCTGCTTACCCCATTGCCTGGCACAGGCAAATAACAACTGCTGGGGCTGTTTCCTCATCTGTAACGTGAGTCGGCCTAGCAGCCAGCTCCCCTGCAGCACCCCGTGAGCCCCAGTGACGTACAGGGCACTTTAGAGCAATACGAATTAAGAAATGACTTTCATCACACAATAATCTCTTTCAAAGCACTCTGCTTCATCATCAAGCAAAGTCCTTAGGATTGGCTGACAATCCTAACAGTGCTTGCTTCACCTCGTTTGCACCCAAAGAGAAGCTGGGGTTCCCCGCTACGAGAACTGGCTCTGGAGGCTGATGCTATTTGCTCTCCGAGGTGCAGCTGGGGAAAAAAAAAAAAAAAACACTAAAATATTTGTATTCCAATAGTTTACTTTGTATTAAACCTTCCAGACTTTTAAATTTGACTAACACGTGTTGGTTCATATGATGACCCTGAGGATAGAAGGTAATGTGCCAATTAGTACCAGAGATTTTATTAAAAAGCTTTATTACTCCGACAGCTTAGATGGCAGCTAGAAATGATAGGCTTGGTCTGTGCCCATGTGGGGCTCCTGACAGCCCTGCAGGATTCAGGGCAACCAACTCCTCATTACCTATTAACCAAACCCCATGCTGACAGCTCCATTAAGAAGTCTTTATCCCCTTCCTCCATTTTTAGTTATCTTCGATCCTGGAAGCATCTTGGCCTGCAGCTGGCAGAACTATCCAGTGAGGCCCAAACACTAAAACACAAGAGCCTCCCTGTGTCTTGATATGACTCTTCTTACTGTGAACAAAATGGGCAAGTCACTCACCCTCCACCAAGGACACCCACTAGTCAAGCTCTGGCCGGGAGCTAACAAACACAGCACTGGCCATAGAAATAACATGAGTCACATATTCCATTTTATATTTTCCACTAGCTACGTGAAAGCAAGTAAAAAGAAATAGGCGGAATTAATAGTAATAATCTGTTTTGTTTAGCCCAAGACAGCTAAAGTACTTTCACTTCAAGATGCAATTAATGTAAAAAAAAAAAATCACTAATAAATTATTCTATCTTTTTTACTAAATCTTCAAAATCTGGATTGTCTTTATGTACAGAGCACATCCCTATGCAGACTGGCTGCAGCTCACGTACCCAAAGGCCACACCGGGCTTGCAGCTACTGTACTGGACAGCAGAGGCCCAAGTCCAAGAATCTATTTTTAGTCAAAGCTATGTGCACACACACTTAACAAGTGAAATGGTTCTAACAAGGCTTTTAGTAAACCCGGTTGCTTCCTGTTCCCTAGGACACCTGCTTACAGCTCCTGCCCTTTTCTCTCCGGCCTTTTCTACTTTCGTAAGGAACCTCAGGGGTCTTGCTTTCTCCCCTAGTCTTTACCTGCGGGCTCACAGCAACAAGAGGCCAACCCCAGCCTTAGCATCCTCCCTACCTCTCCTCTGATGCGATCACATCCAGGGGGGCTACCCTGTCCAGAATGTGCCCTCCTCTCAGCATGGGATTTGGGGTGTGGATCCACCACCCTTCAGCTCTTCCTCTCTGGCTGAGGATTCTGCCTGCTTGGTCTGTTCACTCAGTAAAACCATTCGTCTTCCTACTTTCCAGGTTCTAAAATGTTATAGCTGTTGCTTCTTATTCCAATGCTCTGTGCCTACATAACTTTTCATGTCTTTAAAAAATCCCTTTGCTGGGAACTCTCCTGTACTGCTGGTGGGAATGCAAACTAGTACAGCCACTGTGGAAAACTGTTGGAGGTTTCTCAAACTGCTAAACATGGAGCTTCCATATGACTCAGCAATCCCACTCCTAGGTATCTACCCAAAAGATACAAAAACACTGATTCAAAAAGACACCTGCACCCCCATGTTTACTGCTGCTTTATTTACAACTGGAAAGACATGGAAGCAGCCCAAATACTCAAAAGTAGATGACTGGATTAAAAAGATGTGATACATATACACAGTGGAATATTACTCAACAACCAAAAAAAAAAATAAACACACGTCTTTTGCAGCAACGTGGATGGAGCTGGAAAAGATCATGCTTAGTGAGATAAGCCAGAAAGAAAAGGAAAAGTACTGGATGGTTTCACTCATAGCAGGAGTATACAGGACCAGGTGAGAAAATAATAATAGTAATGAACAGCCATATACCAGAGACATTTTATAGTGGTAGAATGGAGAATGGAATAAAAAACATTGGGGAAAAGGAAATGCACTGGACTATGGTGATGGCACAGGGTGATTTGGTGATGGGAAGCCCATGGGGGTTACAACTGAGATGGAAAAAGGCACAAAATGATGTAAAAATAAACATATTATTTAAAAAAAAAATCCCTTTGCTGTTGTCCTAGTAGGCTCTAGGGAGGTGCAGACACAAAAGGGTGTGCTCCACTCACCACCTCTAGCTGGAAGTCTCCAGGGGTCTCTCCATCCTCGACCTAGTTAGGCTGCTTCACTAATGGGGCAGCACAGGTTTCCCCAACTTAGGCTAAGTTTCCATTTTAGACAGATTAAGCATGAACACCTGGATTCCTGATATTCCAGCTTCTAGATGTGGACCACCTGGCTCACTATCTGAACTACAGGTAGATGGGCCTTCCACAAACATCAGCCTGACCCATGTGATCACAAGGATCACACAACCCTCACAGGACCCTCCAAATACAAAGCTGCTACTCCTGAACATGATTTTTGGAGCTCTCCGATCTATCCTCTGTGTCTCTGTCTTAACTGCTGCAACTGTCCCCTCAATCCCTGTGCTCTGACTCTTCATAGCTGGCCTGTATTTGTCTTCCCCTGCCCTGGATGCTACTACTCAGCTTCATTTTCTTCTCATCCTCCGGCTTAAATGAGACCTCTCTTCGGAGGGAACATCAATGAAGTTGGGGCTCTCAAAGTGCCACATACGTGTCTGTCACCACCGAGCAGCTAGCCTCCCTCTGCCTAATGTGCCCTCTACCCAGTCAAGGGTCAACTCTAATGGCAGAGACACTGTCCACTCCTTCCTGGATCACAGCTGACACCCAGTACAGGCTTACAATGAATGAACATGTGACACATGAGTGTCACACTGAACACAAGATTAAGATAGGTGTGTCTGAAATCTCCCACTGGATGGTTTTACTGTTTTTCTCCAGATAAAATCTGTAAAGAGGCAAAGGTATTATATGGCTGTGTAACTCTTGGGTGTTAGTTTTAGTGTCAAACATTAGAGGGCAAGAAGAGATTATTTTCTAGGAAAAACTGATCAATCCAGTTTTCTCTTATGCCTTGTTTTACTTTTGTGAAGGGAGATTTTTTTTTAATTAACTAGGGTAAAATTTGTAAATTTTTTTCATAAAGGTGAAAAATAAGACACAGAATAAAAAACTTTGCTCGCTGCAGTGGGAGAGTCACAAGATGATGAAGTTAATTTAGGTCATGTCCTGTCCACTTTAGGGTATAAACCTCCAGAGATTACACAGCCACATGCTTCACTTTCCCGTTCCTGACACTTTAAGCATCTGCTCAGGGTGTTTGTAGCTGTCTAAAAACAATAATAAAAAGCACTTCTGCCTATACCCTGTTGAAAATGTTATCTGATAGGTTCTTTGGGGGAGACCAGTCTATAAAACAGGATAAAGCAGCAGCTATAAATAAAATAGCTTTTGGCTTTAGTAGCCACTAACTGTCAGGCTCTCTAGGGGTCTCAGAGAATGATTTTCACCCCCTCCAAGCTTCCCCGAACACGAGAAGGGCGCCTCTAACTCACACTGCCTGCTCCTCCAGCTCCCCTCCGATGCGCTGGGACATGTTCTTCAGCACCCCGATGCTGCCAGAGACCAGCTCCAACTGCTCATCCTGCTGTTCCACGATCAGCTGGTGCCAGAGAAATGGGAAATAGGCAATTAAAATCCATCTTACCTGGTTCCGAGCCCAGTACTCTAGCAGCTGCTCGCTTCCTTGCCAACTTGGGACAATTCGCATTCAGAAGCAAAGCCCAGAAATCAAAGGACCAGACCGTCGCCTCTGAGAACACACTGCTCAAAAGGCTGGTATGTCAAGCTCCTGAGATTTCCTGCTAATCCAACTTCTGAACACTCAGCAGGGCTCAAAACTGTCTGGAGAGATTCACTCTAGTTGGCTGAAGTCTAACGTGGGAACACACAGTAGCTGAAAGCGCCTGGGCAGTGACCACTGAGATGGGACACTAGGGAACAGGAAGCCCATGCCAAGGGTCTAGGTCTCCATCCACAGCTGATGGCCACCGCTGAGGGAAAATCCCTACATGTGGGAAATCACACACACAGTCTTTTCCTCCCTCCTCAAGGACAAGTCAGAGAGGCCTGTGACAGGATGTAACCTCAAGGACAAATTCTGAATGATAAATATTTACTTTTAATTGTATTAGAAGCCTCCTCATGTTTTATTAAAAAGAAAAAAGCATGCTTAGTTAACAGTAATTTAAGTAGAAAACTGATTAAACTGATATGCTAATGTGCTCATATGTTCAACACAACATTTAAGAACCAATGTTTTCACTGCATAGAAAAATCCCCAAATCCCTACATGCATTATTATTAGCTTCCTTCTAGTAACACAACTACACATAAGAACAACACAGACATAATCAATTGCGCTTTCCTTCTACTCCTAAACCTCTATCAAAGCAATCATTTTTATGTATATTGGAGCTATTTTCAATGAACAAAAAAGAAATGCTTTTTTTTTTTGAGCATAAATCTGAATATGCAAGAGACCAGACAAGCAATCATAATGTTTCTAAAAGTCCACAGCCATCATCACTTTTGGATGTTCGATCTATTTTTCCTAGGAAATCTACTGAGCTTGGTTCGTCTGACACAGCCATGCCCTGAGGCGGCGCAAGCCCTTCATTCATGCCATCACGGCCCTTGCAGGCATAGGTGCTGCCGGTTAGCTGGGTCCAGCCTGCCTCATTAATAGGAAAGCACCCTGGCTGGCCGAGAATGGAAGGGAGGGCCCTGCCTCCGGTGCCCCATCCTCAGCTGTAGGTCGTGGGTACCTGCTGTTGTGCCTGCTGCTCCTCGATGAAATGGGAATTGGCTAGCTGGAGCTCGCGGTCCAGGCGGCTATATTTATCGGTGGTTCTGGAGTTCCAGTTCTGCCCACCACTGTCTCCCAGCAGGACCTGTGGGTGTGGGGGAAGGGCAGGGAGTTGGGAGAGACAGTTACCATTGCTGAACAAGAGCTCCCCTACAGTGACACACAGAGTTCTCATATTACTCATCATCCATCACTCAGCCCCCAGCCCTGCCAGTTCTGAGGCAGTGGTGCAGGCTGGTGCCTCTGCGGCACCATTTAAGGTCTGCCAGGAAGGGCCCCCTCCTCTCCAGCTTTCCAAATGGGCCCTGTGGCGTTAAAATACAAATAAAATATCAATTTTAAATCAACAAATATCCATCTGCACGGTGCATTATTACCTAACAGCACTCCGTCTCTTAAAGGCCAGCACCCTTTAAGAGTGCTTCCTGGCACCCTTGAAGTCACCACAGACAGTTTCCAGACAAACTAACTCCACAGACCTAGAATCCATTTTATGTAAGCATTACACAGGAGAGTTTTTGATTTCTTGAGGCGGGACAGTTAGAGCTCCCTAGAATGACAAGAAATTAAGTCACAGCTCATCATACACAGAAAACATAAGGACCACAGTGGGTTCAATTTAGCCTGTGAATAATCCCAAAGTCCTTGAGTTGAACAAAGACTACAGGCTTTCAGCTGGGAACTAGGGCCACCTCATGAGGCAGGAAGGGCCACTGTGGGTGCTGGAACCCCACAGGAAGGTCCCACAAAACTGGGTAGGGTTTCCCAGTTTGAATCTGAGGACGTGTGCAGTCAGGAAAAGGTAGCTAGGAATGTCTTCCTCACATGAAGACACAGGTGGGAATGTGAAAGCCTGTTCCCAGCGGCTGACTGCTCCACAAGGCTTCTGACTAGCAGCAGTACAAGGAAACAGAACATGCGGGCAACTGTGACACTGCCCTGGACAACTGCCCACTTTTCTCAGCAGGTGCTTTTCATCTATCTGTTCGAGGTCTGATTTCTTGGCCTCAGAAAGCCTTGATAACCCCTCCATACCAATACGACCTCCAGTCTGATGTTCAGAGGTGAATCCAGTCCACAATGAGACGGTATTTCAGGGGCTCGGATTGGGGTGAACACAGGATACAGAGCACAGGCTCTGAGGTGGTCGTCAGCGGACCAGGACGTCGGAGAGCTTCAGAGCCCAGGGCCTCAGTGCAGTCAAGGGGATGGATGGTGAATGTCTCTTCTGCAGAGTGCACTAATGCTTTTGTGGGTGACTCTGCCCCAAATCAGTCTTAGAGACTTCAGAGACCCCGGCTCACGCAGATTCACACTCCTAGAAGCTTTATGGAAGTAGTGACAACTGGGGCCTGGTGACAAGACTTTCAGGGTCAGAAACAGGCTACGGTGCTTCTAGGCTCTGAAGTGAGAACTGGGCTCCACCAGGACCTCTATATTTATGGGGCCTCCAGGTCAACTTGCTCTGGCTTATACCAGGGCCTACACTTAGCTGGACATAAGTTAAGCTTTTGGGTCATCTAAGCTTTATTGTAAAATTACTCAGAACTCATCAGTCTGACCTCCTGGGAGACTGATGTTGTTTGTTTTGTAAAATTGGGGTGCAGACCAGAGGTGAAGGTAATTTATATATATATATATATGTGTGTGTATATATATACACATATATATATATAAATTTGAGGATCCGTCACTGTTACTTTAAATTACCTTTACACACACACACACACACACACACACACACACACACATTTATTTATTTAAAAATGGGCAGGTTTGGGTTTTATTTATTTTCTAGTTTTGTTTTTATTTATTTATGCATACAAGAGCTGGGGTGTAGGCCAGAGGTATAGGGGGTGAAAGGATTCACCAGAGACAGAGTGGGGAGCAGAACAGGTGGATCTACAGAAACACACTGTGAGAGGAGCAGGAGGCGAGACAGGAGAGGTCTGCTATGCCATGTGGGTCAGCTCCCTGGCTTGGATTGAACTGGTGCTGCCATGGCTGCCAACAGCTTCACAGTACTGAGACTTAACAGATTCTGCACCAAGGAGGCCCTGGGCAGGTTTATTTTAAAAAGGGAAGGAAAGTAAAGGACGCATGCACAGAAACAAGCGAGCAGAAAGAGCTGCCCCTGGAAGGGACAGGGTTGTTAAGAAAGACACCTGCACAGTCACAGGCGGGCAGTGTTGGGAGGAGAGCTGCCTCTGCTGCTTTGCAAAGGCAGGTTGGTGAAGAGAAGTCACAGGTGGACAGGTGAGCTGCTGCCCAGATTTCTTTATATAAAATTTCAATCATTAAATGTCTAATGAATTCTATGGATAGGCAATGTAGGAGCAGCTAGAAAGAAAAAAAGACGACAACAGTCATCTCTCAGGCAGTATAGTCCTTTTCTCATAGAAAAGGACAAATAATAATTATAGCCCCAAGCAGAGTGCCTGCTCACAGGACGCATTCACCAGGCGCAGAGAGCACGGCCGTGTGGTGAGGGCGGGCGGGTATGTGAATTCAGATGGGCCAACGCCATGTCATGCTCCCCGTTCAGCCCCGGCAGGTCTTTTGCTAGAATGAATGATCCACAGAGGGCAGCATTTTTAATTCAAATATTTGTTCACAGATTTCTCTGAGTGATACTGTGTATTCTGATGTATACTCACCTGTCTGTTTTTCCTTTCAGCTAACGCCTGCACAGATGAAGTGGACATCTGATCCTTCATGTCCTATTGAGGTAAGGAGAGACCAGAAAACAAATGAAAAAACACCTTTGAACCAAATCAGGGCTAACGGTTTGCACATTAGCAACACACACACCATTTATTACCGATTGCAAAAGTAGTAGTTTGGCTTTTATTTTCACACTTACAAATACAGGGGGAAAAAAATAAAGAGAACACTGTCCTCTTAAAAAGAGATAACCTAGATAATCAACCCAAATAGGAGAGAAAAGAAAGGAAACTAGGATTCCTGGGTATCTACTGGGGACCAGAAACACTGTGAGACTCAAACTCACATTATCACTGAATTTTAACAATGATCCTGTGAAGCTAGTACAAGCACATCAGGATAAAGTATAGCTACCATTAATATCAGTGAATACTTTGGTATCCACCTACAATGCTTCTGAGTGCTACTGATACGGTGTGAGCACTTTATAGACAAATTAAACTATATCCTTAGAATACATGCACTTTTCTGTATTGCTGTACTTTAAAAATGTTTTTTAAAAATACTGCAGTTCCCACAGATGGCCAACAGGCATATGAAAAAATGTTCAACATCACTTGTAATAAGGGAGATGCAAATTAAAACCACAATGAGATACCACCTCACCCCAGTGAGAATGGCACATCTTCAA